TGATGGATACGAACGCAAGTTCCTTTACCCACAACTCCTTTAGTATTTGTTCTGCTTAGACCAAAGGCAAATCAAAACACTAGATTAATCGTACAAAATACAAAATATATTTCGGGGTCAAAATCGTAGTGCTTAACTAGCCAGGGATCGTGCACGAACGAACGTAACACTATGGTGTATCAAATGGCATGGATGCTTGACTGCAAGCCTTCAGCTAAACAAGTCGACTTCAACAGTGATGACCAGGAACTAGTATTGCGTGATAAATGCTGTAGGCTAATAATTTTGGGGAATTATATACCGCTACAGTTCGGATTCCTTTTCTTTGGTAAATTTTAAGAAGGGATAGCAGTTGTTGAATGAAGGCAAAATTTCATCAAGTACTACATCCTTATCATAGATAATGAAACTGTTTTCTACAAATCTTCTATGAACATCAGAACGACAAATGGTTTGACTGAGTTTAGTGTTTTCAAGTTTCAGCAAGAAACAATCAGCCAGCAGTGGTGATTACATCGCAATGCCAACTTTTTATCTAAAACGCCCATTATTGAAACTGAACACTGGTTATGCATCATAATAAGAGTTCTTTGAGGTAGCTTGCTGGCAACTGTGCATCAGTATAATCCCATATATACGAGGAAGATTCTTTTAGATGTACATCTCACATCTAGTGAGAAGACGACTTTATCAGAGACACTAAAATCTTTAATACCCTCAATAAATTGAAGTGCATCATTAATGCAGAACTTAGATACCTGCCTTCTAATAAGTTTCAGTTTTCCAGCTAGGCATTGAGCAATGCTGTAAAAAGGGAGAACCCGCTATACTGAGAATAGCACGGAGGTATAATCCTTTTTTATGATTTTCTGCAGCCCTGATAAACGTGGGATTTTGGAGCTGACTGGTTGAATGTGTTCATATGAATCTCAGGAGATTATGGAGTTATCCTTTATGTTTGTTAAAACATCTGGCAGTTGATTTTCATGTGGATGTGTCTTGCTCGTTTCACTGTCAGGTGTGGAAAATTTCATCTAGTCAGAAAGAATCCTTGAGACTTTATTGGCGTATTCTTCGTGATCCATAGCTACAACACCACCTTCATCATGGCGGCTTATGATAATACCATCATTATTCTTAAATTCTTCAAACTGAATAAAATAGGAAATTACTTCTTAAGGACAACTAAATAAAAGGAACTTTTTGTCTTTTTCAAGTGTTGGTTTGTAGGGATTTGATTGGTTACAGGATTTCATCATGAGCTGACATCAGTTAGAGAACCATTGGAAAACCTGGGAGTACTGGACAGCTGTTTCGTCCTAGTTTGGGACTCTTCAGCAGTTCGAATGTCGGTGGGTGCGTACTGCTGAAGAGTCCCAAACTAGGACGAAACAGCTGTCCAGTACTCCCAGGTTTTCCAATGGTTCTCTAACTGATGTCAGCTCATGATGAAATCCTGTAACCAATCAAATCCCTACAAACCAACACTTGAAAATCAATGAGATGCTCACTAGCGACTTGCCCTATTCAGGTGGGTAGTCACCTGGGGTTCTAGTGAGAAGTCGTGACCAGTAGGGTGCAGCAGGTCGGGCGTGAGGACAAATACTCGCCGAAGACATTGGCTAGGGGTCGCGCTATGTCGTGAATTGGCAGAAGTTAGAATTCATGGACCATTGGATCGGGTCCCAGTGGCTTCATGGTATACGAGCTCGCCTTGTAACCAGAAGGTCCTGTGTTCGAATCCCGGTGGGTGCGTACTGATGAAGAGTCCCAAACTAGGACGAAACAGCTGTCCAGTACTCCCAGGTTTTCCAATGGTTCTCTAACTGATGTCAGCTCATGATGAAATCCTGGAACTTTTTGTCTGTTGAGACTAGAAGTAGTAGTTTCGTGACGTTAGAAGATAAAGGCTAGATTATGTTTATTGGGAATTTGGTATCCCTACATACACTTGAAGCCCTATGTTCCACTGGGAACGTAAAGAAATAAAAAAAACCACAGCGAAGTTATGTACAACTTATCTTCAAGTCACCATTTGCACAGATCTTCCGTGTTGTGCTACTTCTGTCCTTCTTATTGTGTTCCTTTCACGTCTTCCATGTTTGTCCGCAACGCTGAATCTTTTGCCCTCTCTGACACACGTTTCTTTATATACTGCTGATAAATCTTATCTCAACCCCAGTTACTTCTCTAGGCCTGTTAGTTCATTTGTATCACCTGAACTATCATTTACATACGCTGTCGAATAATGTGGAAATAACTCTCAAAGTGGTAAAAGTAACTAAGGCAAACTAACTACTACTTTTCAAGTGTTCGTTTTCAGGGACTTGGTTGGGTTCAAGTGAGTCCACGAGTTGACTTCATTTAGAAGAACAGAGAGTACTGGATAGTTGTTTTGTTCAAGGTTGAAACTCTTCGACAGCACACACCCATCACTCCACTGAGGGGCGAAGCAAAGAGCTTTGGGTTAAGAGACAAACCCGTTGACCATTCAGCCACTGAGGAGGGATTCAAACCTGGAATCAAGTAGTAGAGTGGAGTAGAATGCTTAAGCTGGTCAGTCGCATCTTCCTCGAAAGCTTTGATGACACAATAGCACTTTACATGGCTAACCCTATGAAATATTCCAGTTTTAAGCGCCAACCACACTCAGCTGAAACATGTTTTATGACTAACAGACCGAAATGGTAATAAAAGTTCGACGTTATGTAGAATGCATACTGGTCATTAATTTACAAACCAGTTTAAGTGTTACCTGATTTAATTTATTTTCAGAAGGTGAATATATGGATATGTTGTCCACCGTAAACTGAATTTTAAACAATCGGAAGCCTGGTATGGGAGAAGACTTTCAACTGTAAATCGTTGTCACTGGTAAATACATCGAATAGATGATTACTTTTGAGAAATATTTGAAATCACTCTAAATATGAGTGAATTAAACATCTGAAAATCGGAACACAACTGTTAACTATATTCGAATAACTAGTGTATATGGATTACATCAAACCATGCGAGCATTTACATGAAACATTTTTATCTTACACTGTAAATCCGTTTGCCCTTACATGTTAATCTACGGCTTAAGTTAAGAACAAAAATGTACTTATGGTATCTTCGACTTTGATATATTTCAGACCACTAGCGTACGGGCAATTGGAATGATGCTTTCTGGTCTAAAAGCACCATAACAACTCAGCCGCTGAGAGGTATCATTAAAATGTCTACCTATAAACTATGTTCTCACAATTTGTATTGTGATAATCAAAGCTTCTATTCGAATTAACTCTGTTGCGGATTTATTTTCTAAAGTAACGATGACCAACAGTGACTACAATTATCATTCTTGTTACAGAAGAATTGATACAAGTAGCTATACTTCCATGGAAAATCTCAGTTAGTTAGTGGAAAATACGACGATGTTACCTAGATGTCAGTAATGGGAGGCGGATTCGAACGTGTGGCGCACTCCTCGCAATTAAGGTACACAAAGCAATAAGTCACAGTAATACTGAGGTTTCGAAGTTAAACAGTCAAATGTGTTAACCACTTCACCTTTTTAGAAAGCTAAACCATTCATAGTACACAGATTCGTGGAGAAACCTCACGATGAGTGAAAAACGCTTTCTAACCAGTACCATCTGATACCGATGTGATATCCAGATACTTATCAAAGGACAGATGTACTGCAAAACAGGCAGCTCTGTTTAAAGTATGAAAGTAAAAGACGACAGGTTATAGGCTTTTCGACCATGTGTTGTGGTGTTTGGTGAAAGCAGAGTGAGTACTGTTGAGCTTATCTGTAGGGCACTAGGTAATAAATTCAATGAAGCTGTAAACCCTCATTGTGTGAAACAGCCAATACTTCAAAGACCATCCCAGCTACGACTTATTATACTTCACTGGTGTTAACATTGCATGTGCTGAGCATATGCAGCTATCGGTTTTGTCCACAAACAGTGTAAAAGGCGGAAGTATGGATTATTCACTTAGTCTCAAACAACAAATTCTAATCTCATATCACGCTTCATGTTTTCGCTTTTTCAAACTAACACTACCTTCACAAACCAAGCGTGGTTCATTATTCTGAAACATTTGAAGAAATGAAGGCCGGATAACCAGAAAACTTAATCGATAAACGACTAGGGAATCTTGGTAATACATGCCAAACTCTGCCAAAGTGGCATAGAATATTCACTTTTGATCACTGAAATGGTGAATTTCACCAGTAATGAATTAACTCTCATTAATCTGATCATTCTTTCTTAACTCGTTTTCCTTCTGCTCCGTTTTACAGTATCGGTATTTTTGTTTATATTTTTAATTTATATTATTTCTCACAGTGACGTGTTAAACTGACACACTAGGGCGTTAAATGTAGATTTTTATTATTATTTCGAACACTTATTTCATGAAGACTTTTTTGATTGAGAAAACTGTCAGTTACACCTGTTATTGTATAGTGTCAGCAGATCACATTACAGGTTAATCAGCTTTAAGAAATAGATTGACGCCTTCTACGCATATTCATTCACAATTATCTATTCATGACAAGAAACAACTATGGTGATTGTAAAGTCAAAACAGGGAGACTGCTGGTAGAATGAACATTAATCATCTAAGAACAACTAATTCAGATCCTACCGAGACTTCAAGTTAACAGTTATACGATCTAAAAAATGCAACCATCATGGACATGGACAGGTTGACTACAAAAATGGTAGCACAACAACCCCATTTTATAAAACAAAACTGCACGAATCAAAATAACCTGTTTTTTTTTCAAACTTAAAAAATTATTTATACATAAAACAAGGCTTTAAAGGTACACTGATATCTTACAAAAATCTTTTACTGTCTTGCTAACTTTTCTCTAAATCCAATGAAAGACAAACCAATCAAGTAAAAATGCAATTTAAAAAGTACATATCTAATAAATATTTTTCGGGTGTACATAAACAGTAAAATGTGGACTTGAATAGAAAAGGAATTACAAAACTTTACAATTCTAAATATGAATAATTCGATAAAATCTTCAGTTTATCTACAATCTGAGCATTGTGTTTGCTAATAATATTCCACAATTTGGAATAAACTTTAATTGACTGTACTATTAACTGTTTTTGATTATATGTTAGCAAACAAAAGGGAAGTGTATTTTGAGTAATTTTATCATTTAACGTATTCAATTTTTCTTCAAGTGAGTTTAACATTTTTGTAGAAGTTGATTGTGTACTATGATATCCATGGGATTTCATGAATACAGCTTTTTGTATACCACTTAAACATAAAGTTTTTGAATAAGAAAGTGATTGTGTATTACAAATGTTCTGTGATTCGTGCAACAACTGAATCAATTCATCTGATGCTTTTGACTTCATACTCTCTAATAACTGTGATGTAAGTTCAGCAGCAAAACGTGAACTGTTTTGAAATCGACTCATTTTCTCTTGTTCATGACCACATTCATCGTGATTAATTTGTTCATGTACAAAAGTTACTAACTGGGTAAAGAGATCAGTGGAACTTATAGATTCCATAGGAAAGACAGATGAATAAGAAGACCTATGTTTTTGAAAAAAAAATGAAAATATGTATGAAATAATTTCATTCATAATAATTGATGTAATAAGTTCTCATATGATATTTGCAAAAATAACTCTGAAAAAAATGTTTTCCTTGGATCACATCAAATAAGGCTACATTGAGTTACTGAGTTACGTTCATCATCATTTTGTTATTATGCACACCATCGACATTGATACGCATTATGATTACTACATGTTATCACCAAATAAATAAAGAAGGCCTGTTAAGATTGTCACAACAGTGGGTTATTTATTAAGTAACTTATATCGATTGGTCGCTAATACGATGATACTTAAGGCTTCACTTGTCATCTAGTTTGAATGTTCAACGGATTCCTGTTTTAGAAGCATTTCTTTTAGACGTAGACTTTACTCCTGATGGTTCACCTAAAATGATATTATTGTTTATTTTCTGGTCAATACTAGAAACGATTAAATTGTTTTGGTTCTTGAAAACAACATTTCTCAATTAATACCCACTATCTTAACGTGGTTATCAGATTTAAATGTTGCAGTAAACTAAAGAAATATGTTGACTGGAATGACTGTTCTAGAAAACTCTGAAATGCCAGAAAAGTTGATTGAATAGAGCCAGTTACAGTTATACTGTATGACCATTCGAAAGTCTGTTGAAACAGCAGCTAAGGTTATGCCCAGGATAGGCTGCCTGTCTTATCTGTGGACAAGAAGTTAAAAAACGTTGTTTATTCATAGGAGGCAGTAAGGTTAGGAGTAAAAAAGGGAACTCCCACAAATCTTAATACTTCTAATTAAGTCGCATGAGACCAACCTAAAGCAGACGTCATTTTGTCACTTTGTTCATTCAAAACTCACCATTTTTTCCTCTTTCTCTCTTTTTTTCTCTTTCCAATACTCATAGGAGATATGACAGGTAAGGAAGTATGTGGTTCAGTGAAGAGGCGATTTTCGGTAATTTCGTTTGGTGAAGCCACGCAACCGTGAGTATCAACACATTTATTATATGTTCGACTTTCTACACACTGACAAGGAATGAATTGTGAGACAAACAATTACTGTAAGAACCAATGCAGCTTATTGTTGAAAAAAACTTTGCAAATAATTTGTATAGTAACAGAATAGAGAGAAATCTGTGACTTACCTATTTGCTGGAAAAAATATTATACACGGGATATTCTCAACTCTTAAATGCCAAGGAAGATCCATTTTCGATACATCCACTCTAGTGAATTCAAGAAGTAGTGGAAAAGAGGAAGAAACAAAATGATCCACATATGGTAAATCTGCTTTACACTGAATAATATAGCTTGTGTTAATTATTTGCAAAGGAAAAATTGAATCATAGTGGGTTTTTATGTCTAAGACTCAATGCTGTATAGACTTATTACTAAAATGCCTTGAACACATTTTTAAAAACTTTGGTGCATGATGAATTTAGTACTTCATATATTCCAGTTGTTCAAATTTCTTCATACCTTTACGGCTTGTTTCTAGCTATTACTTCGTAATGCTCTTTCCCTATGAACTCATTTCATCATCAACAACGACAAAACTCCATATTAGGTAAGTTTACTTTATATATAACACGGTGGTACAGTAGTGATTACTGGATGACATTTAGAGAACGACTGTTTGCTCATAATTAAACCACGTTATCCAGTTATCAATACTGTATCGCTTTGTTATACATAAAATAAACTGATCTAGTATGGCATTAAATTACTTCAGAAACTCTAACCTCTTGTCCATCTATTTGTCCTCCATTCATAAAATTAACTGCATCATTGGCTGATTTAGCATCAACATACTCAACATAGCCATATCCTCGATTGAATTCTGGATGAATACGATGTCAATGGCGCAGATGTATTCAGTCTCTTTAACCTTCATATTTCTTTCTACCATTACTCATTTTGTTTCACTCTTATACTTATCTAAATTCTATTGATTCTCTTCTCTCATTTTCCTGTCTACCTTTGTGTGCTATTTGGAACGTGGCAACTCAAAATGCTGCACTTCAGTGCCAAGTTCTATGTTGAATCCAGCAGCAGCAGCAGCAGCATTAAATTACTAACATACTGCCCAAACTCTGCACTCACATTAAATAAAAGATATTTACAACTTTATAATCAGACTAAATAAACTACGTTTTAAGCCCTTGTTATGAGGAATTGACGTTACATAACGCGTTATCATTTACGACCACTTTTAATAAAAACTTCTGAAGACATTTGAAGTGTATTTTAGTAGCAGTTGACTTGGGTGCTACCTTTCGCACAAATCTTCCTATCCTACAGCTTACATTGATTATTTTGTTTTTATTGATTCGATACTATATTTACAACTTTTAATTAGTACTAAAAAATGAACCGTCTATTATTCAAATAGATATTTTAAGAAACGACACCTAAATCACTAGACATATGGAGGATAAGTATACGTATACGTATACAGATATTGAAACACCACGAAAGGATCTTGACGAGTTATAAACTTTCATGTCTTTTACTTTGAAAACTGTGGATAATCAATATTAAGGTAAGTTGACACACAATATAAATCCAATCCATACACACAGAATACTTAGATAAACTCTTGCATAATTTTTACATAACAAACTCACTTAGCAAACAAAAGGTGGTGATTCGATTCGAAAAAGCGAGCAGCTGCCTCAAACTGCCACAAAGCGCTATTTCCACCATATGAGTATACGCATGTTGTTGAATAATAAAGTAAAATCACGTTTTTCCTTGGTTCTCCTAAGTCGAATGACTGATCAATCAAATTTTCCAATTGTATTGGATGTTTGATATCAACGACAAGAGTATCGCTAGTACGTGAATAGTTAAATGAAGCTTCATCATTTTTTCCCGAATGCCTTAACCATGGTCGTAGAGTTGAATTATGAAATCCTGATATAAATCGACCTGAAAAACCATGAGATATTTAAGTCATAGTATAATTATTCTAATAGTTTTAGTCATCGAGCTAGGTGTATCTAGAATCGTCAATTGCTCATTAACACAATAGGCAACCAATGACAATAAAATAAAACAATTTCGCCCCTAGAGACTGTCATCTCACGGAGTTGGTTGTTCCTTACTAGCTGCTGCAAGCCTACTTTTAGTGTAAACTTAACAGATTCTCTACCACATAGATGATCTGGTATGGTCAATTGTGGGTAGACTCCAGAATGTCAGGATGTCTAGAAATGCTCCCATATGGCTACAGGTTCATTCCCACTAAAAAGGACGTCATATTTATAGCCTTTATAAAGCAGGTGGTGTTTTTCCGAAAATGAAAGGGCAAATCCAAAGTAGCAGCCCTCAATACCTCACTGATGGACATAGAGGGTTCACCTAGGAGAGTTGAAAACTCCCAACTCTAACCCAGTGGTGCACATTATTCCAAGCAACCGAAGAGAACAAATGACGTATAAACTCCTTAAGTCACCAGTAACCACGGGGATCAAATTCTTGATATAGCTCTGTTGTCATGTAGATCAGACTTCAATTCAAACGATTTCGGAGTACCTTTTTAAGAAAATCATCAGTTACGATTCGAAAGAACGGGTTTTATTTAAGCCTTCTCACAAAATAAGGAATGATAGTGCTATCATATTATTTTTTTGTGACACTTTTTGGTCCCTACATTGTATGAAGTTTGCCACTAATTAATGAGAAGAATAACAATACTGGTTAGTTTAATTTACTTTTCAAGCTACGCGTTTTTATAGTTGACTTATAGCATACAAAAATATTTAAGGCGCTAATCCATAAAATGGATCACCGTTATGCGGGTTCTGGATATCTAACCAATAACAAAGGAAAAGATGTGACCAGGTTTCCAATCTCGAAAAAACATCTGGAAATTATGTCTCAATATATGAAGAGAAATGCAGACGACAAACTGTGTTAAATACGAAAATCTAGTTCAACTCTTTGTGCGTGTATTTCTGTTAATATATTCACTACATTCCTGAATAAATCTTAGGTAACACCATTGAAAATACGTTGCTACACAGAAAATTTTATTGAATGAACATATGATCAGTTCTCGTTGAATTAAGAATATAAATTCTTTGAGGTGAAATTAGTCGTTCTAAATAGTGAAATTTCTATAAATAACTATAAGACTTTTTTATATTAAGTAATAAAAGAGTTGAATAGACAAATAGTAACCCACGACTTACTCAAAGACTGAAAATTAACGGCTTCTTCCAGGCGGAAAACATTCTCATTCTAAAAGATAACGCAGGAAAAAAATTAAGCAACTGCCGGAAATTAGAGCACGAACTGATGAAATGTTTTTCAGTAGGTTATTATAACTTTGTCACAATCTTTACTTCAAGTAAAAATGGTGAGGATCTTGATATTAACGATAATCAAATCTACAGATATGCAGATTCATTCTTACCCAATCTTTGTCCAAATCCTGGTGTCAGTTAACTGTATTTGCTTTTGCCTTATATCATTCAGTGATATCAGAATAATTAGTTTTGTGTCTTTGTCTTTCTTCTTATCATACAGATATAAAAATGTGCATTGCATTACTTGAATCATTGCACAGCAATCGCAGATTCTAGGTTAATAGGTTTAAACCAAAAATTGGGTGTAACTACCCGAATCATCGATGGTGTAGTTTTAGTCAAAGGTGGAATTCACATAAACCAGTTCCTTGAATTAACTTCTAAAGTGAAAAAAAAATTGAGAAATAAAGTAGAGGTGTTTTTACTTACTTACCTGCATATCAATAATCGCAGCACCCAACTGATTAGAGCCAAGCCATTTAGAATTGTGTAAATATCCTCCAATTTCCCAAGCTAATGTTGGCTGTAAGGATGAATCCAAAGTATGAAATTCTAATGTTCTATTGAATGAACAACCCAGACCATAGGCAACTGAACTCTTCAATTTTTCGTAAGATATATCTGTGTGCAATGCATCATTTTGACATTCATTGTTAAATGATTCACCGGTGTTCACTGAAAGATCAACATGATACCAGTGACAACACATAAAATTTAACTGTTCAACAACAACTCGCCCATCAATTCCATTATAATTATTAGGTAGAGATGATGAAAAATTCATTGTATTTTGTGTATCATACAGAGAAATTTCATACATTAGTCTGACAGCCTGTTTGATAATATCTGAAACAGGAAAATAAATAAATTTTAAGTTTTTTTAAACAAACAACCAAAATGAAGATTACACATGTAAAAAAATGCTTACCAATATTAGAGGTAAAGGGAGAGGTTGTATTTTTTATTATTTTTCTTCACAAACTGTAGAGTTACACATCAAAAAGAATGTTTAGCAATTTAAATATTATATATAATTCCTTTACTTTCCGAATGGAACATAGGGCTTAAAGTTAGAGGCTTGAAGTTTCTGTAGCAGTGGGTTTTTTTTCTGTAGCCTCATGCCCAAACTTTCTTCTTCACCAGTTTTATTACTGGTTTAGTGAAGTTTGAGAGTGTGTCGTCCGGGGATCGAACCCCAGACCACACGAGTGGTCGGCAAGCATTCTACCGCTGCGCAACCGACACACCAAGCAATCTAACTACCTATGAAATACCTCTCCTCCAAATTTTCTAAGATGAACAGTAGTATTACACTTATGCCAAAATATATGAATTTTACGATCAGTCCATCTAGATGCGTAAATTTCTCTACAATATCGTTGTATTTTGAATTCCCCCAGTTTCGTAATAATTTCTAACTTCATTATTATGGGAGTGTTAGATCTGTAGATATGAAACTCTATTGCCAGAAAACACGTGTTTTTGTGCTTGACCTAGGAATCTGAAAAAAAATTAATGTATCTTCCCTAGCTGACAACTGCAGCCAACTAATTAAAGTCTCACATTATAATGGAAGTCAAAAATGCCTACCATTTCTCACAACACTATTAAGACAATGTTAAGTATGGCTTACTTCACTTTTTCCAAAATATTAACGGACTATTAAGTTTGATCAAGTGTTAAGTGATGATGATCTCGGTCAGAGAAGTATAGAAATTACAAACTGACTTGAACATGCCACTTATTCAAATCAAATAGACAGGTACGGTAAAAGCTTGTAGCGGTAAATAATTCCCCAAAATTATTAACCACAGCAATCATCACTCAACATTGGATGCTGACCACCACTGTTTAAGTCGACTTGTTTAGCTGAAGGCTTACGGTCAAGCATCCCCGCCATTTGGTGCTCCGTCGTGTCACGTGCGTGCACGATTACTAGCTAGCTAAGCATTCACCTCTACCTGCGATTTTGTCCCGAAATATACTACGTAATTTGGACGACAAAATCTGGTCTTTTGCTTTACCATTTGGTACTCGAAGAACGAACACTATAGAAGTTGTTGGTATAAGATCTTGCGTTAGTATAATCCCTACAACTCGCGAACGTCGATACCTGCAACCACCAAACTGGTGAGCCCAACCACAAACTGCATCTTCAATTCACACGCAGATAAACCCGGTGAGTTCGTTCCTTTTTGTGTTTATTCTTGTACTATATTGTTATCGGCATACTTTTCGTCATGATTGACCCTAGCCCCAAGGTTATTCGTCTTCGCTCAGCCGTCAAAACAATTCAGCTCGTACCATATTGGCCAGATAATGCTGAAACGTGGTTTCAGATTGCTGAGTCTGATTTTTGTGAACATGGCATAACTGATCAACGTTCACAGTTCCTTGCAGTTATTCACGCCCTACCGCGGGAATTCAGCAGGTGCGTAACTCTGCAGATGTCGGTAAGTAACTCGTACGAGTTGCTCAAAGCATCCATCCTAAAGAGAAACGTTCTCACGGATCGACAACGTCTGGATGAGTTATTCCGTAACATGGAGTTAGGGGATCAGTCAGCCGTGAGCATGCTGGCAAGAATGAAAGAGATCATTGGCCAAAGTCAGTTCGATGAAGGACTGTTCAGAGAACTATTTTTATCCAAACTGCCACAGTCAGTTCAGACTGTACTTGTGACACTTCAGGGTGTTCTCATAGATGATTTAGCTGTCTCTGCAGATAGAATTCTAGAGATAACGAAACGGCCAGTTACCGAAGTATACTCACTTACCGAACAGACTTCGAGGAAGGATTCTGCAATGATAGAGTTATGCAACTCCGTCCAGCAGATGCTTAGGTCAAACAAGCCTAGCAACTCCTCCCACCGTCGTTCTAAATCCCCTCAACGGCTGAACGCACGTGGACGATCTAAGTCCAACACACGTTCTCTCAGAAATCCTGACTGGTGTTGGTATCACAACACCTATGGCAAGGAAGCGAAATGTTGTCGAAAACCTTGTGATTTCGGCAAAGCCTCCAAGTCTGTGGGAAACTATCCCGCCGGCACGCGTTAGCGGCAACCGTCACCGGTGGCACTAGCCGCTTACTTTATATCCATGATGTAATGAGCCAGACTAGATATCTAGTCGACACAGGCGCCGAAGTCAGCGTCCTTCCTGCTACAGCAGCAGATCGACAGAAAGAACCTAACTTCAACCTACAGGCTGCAAATGGAAAACCAATTGCAACCTATGGTCGGAAATACGTCTATCTGAACGTAGGTTTACGCAAACCTATTCAGTGGATTTTCCTAATCGCTGACGTCACAATGCCCATCATTGGCACGGACCTACTTAATCATCATGATTTGCTCGTAGACGTCCGCCGTAAACGGCTAATTGACAACACTACTAGTTTGTCTATCAAAGGCATAACTTACGTAGGCCCCAGATTGTCAATCGTTAAGATGAAAGCAATCCTCGATCCAACTTTTCAACCGATTGTTGACAAATATCCGGAACTGAATTGCCCATCTAACGACCTCCCGTGTATAACCAGCAATGTTATGCACCACATCATAACCTCAGGACAGCCCGTGACATCTAAAGCACGACGACTGGCCCCTGACAAACTGAGAATTGCCAGAAACGAATTCGATCATATGCTCACCCTTGGCATCATTCGGCCATCGAATAGTCCATGGGCATCCCCGTTGCATATGGTACCGAAAAAGGATAGTAACGATTGGCGACCCACTGGTGATTACCGGCGAGTGAACGCCAAAACAACCCCTGATTGCTACCCTTTGCCTCACATACACGACTTGACGGCAACGTTATCTGGAGAATCCATATTCTCCAAAAACGACTTGGTTAAAGCATATAACCAAATCCCCATGGCAACGGAAGATATTCCGAAAACGGCTATCATCACGCCTTTCGGACTTTTTGAATTCCTACGTATGCCATTCGGCCTCCGGAATGCGGCCCAAACATTCCAACGCTTCATCGATGAAGTATTTCGCGGTCTCGACTTTGTATACGCATACTTAGACGACTGCCTCATTGCCAGTCCAGATAAGGAAACTCACCTTAGACACTTGGACTTGGCATTTGAAAGGTTACGCTAACATGGTGTTACCATCAATATACAGAAGTGTCAAATAGGCGTTGACCCACTCGATTTTCGGGATCACACTATTGACTGTCAGGGCATTCGCCCACTGGCTACTTCGGTCGACCACTCTAAGAAAACGCGTTCTGGACGTCACGTTAGATTCCCAGAATACCTTCACACCTATTTCACATAACTGAGTGACACATCAATTTTTTTTTATGTTGCGTCATTTAACACAAGTAAATGATATTTTTCCTATAACCGTACATAAAATTAAATTAGATGTATATTTTCCCCGGTATTTTGAACTTTACATTATTTTACTGTATAGTAGATGCATGTCATATTTTTTTGGTAAAAAGCGCTTATTTGGTACATTTTTCTTGACAAGGTTCTCAGCATTCTTGTTTTCTTTTCCAGGTGCAACGGGCACTGGACAGGAAACAAACGAAGCACGGGATCTAACGAACAACATTGAGGAAGCTATGTACAGACACCCTATTAGCATAGGCAGACAGACCAGCGGGCTTTCGATCAAGCCGCTCGGAAGATTTTTTCACCCATCAGGGAACCATCGAGATTATTTTGCTTCCGGCTGGTCATGTCTTAGGGTCCTCGCAAACCCACTAGGGGGGGGGGAGTGAGCTGCAGCGGTAAATAATTCCCCAAAATTATTAACCACAGCAATCATCACTCAACATTGGATGCTGACCATCACTGTTTAAGTCGACTTGTTTAGCTGAAGGCTTACGGTCAAGCATCCCCGCCATTTGGTGCTCCGTCGTGTCACGTGCGTGCACGATTACTAGCTAGCTAAGCATTCATCTCTACCTGCAATTTTGTCCCGAAATATACTACGTAATTTGGACGACAAAATCTGGTCTTTTGCTTTACCATTTGGTACTCGAAGAACGAACACTATAGAAGTTGTTGGTATAAGATCTTGCGTTAGTATAATCCCTACAACTCGCGAACATCGATACCTGCAACCACCAAAAGCTAGAAAGAAATTGTTGCCAAGTAGTAAAAACACCAAAATACGTACATATGGCACTATCGTAATTCGTGGATACAAAACCACATTTTATTAACCATCGAAGTATTTACAAACTTGTATTCTTCATATTCTTAAATACGAAAATGGGAAAAATATCGAAAAAACTATGTGGGCCCTAAATACCTGCCTTCTTTGAATTGGAGCAGTATCTTAACGTAACCACAGGTACGTTGACGCAGTTAACAGAGCCACATATATTATTAGTCGGTCATATACTAGCTTTTTTAAGTCGAGTAAAGAGAAGCTAGAATCGGTGTAGTGTAGTCCTCAAACCAATCGAATGACGCCACACAGGATTCCGAAATACTAACCATCAAAAGATATTCGAAAAAATTTGTAATCATTATACACAGTGCAAAATAAAATCATCAAAAGACTAGTCGGTATCCTGTAGTGAAGATGGAATATATTATTCTCTTCTGATAATCATGCAGCTGTGTAGGTACTGATCAAAGAAGTATAGGCTTTTAACTAATACACCCTAAAATTAAATCACGATTTACTGACAGCCACGTGGATGAACAAGCAGTACCATAACTGGCACATAAAAAATTTATGCCAGATGACTTAGTGGCAATGCAACAGTATTAGTAGTGGTACTGGTCGCATTACAGTATTTGTATTATTTGGAGAGTGGTATCATAAACTGGCTTTGGTTACCTTATTTAGCTATGACATACGAATTCTGAAAGTAAATGAATCGGAAGGTGTTTTGCTCGAAAACCGATTAGTCAGAAAACAGTTTATCCACGGTGAATTCTTGGAGTAGAAAATGCTGATTTCGCATCTAATATTCCCAGCAATTAATGCCACAAAGTACCATCACTCACATTCTTAATCCCTATTCTAGTTCGACTGACGGATAAAAATCCAAACCCGAAAAGTAATGGCTACACTGGTTACAGCAGTGATTCTATAGCACAATTTTTAAATGCTCATTTTGGCGCAACGAATAAGTATTACAAAAATTATAGCCGAAGACACCAAAAGAACTCTTACCGTTTGCTATTGTGTTGTTTCCAAGTAAACCAAGAATTCTTGATAAGGTTGAGTTAATCTTACCGCCTTGAGTAAGGTTATTTGCGTGGTCTTGTAAATTATATCCAGAGCCAGAAAGGCTTTCTTTTTGCTCACAGATATTTTCACTTCTGATCCCAGCATGAGAACTGATGAAGGCCCACCACCTGGGGCAATTAGCCGCCAACCTACAACGCTTGCGTGAGGCTAAAACTGCACCTTCACTAAGAACTTCCAATGAATCTTTAGTGGACAAATTCCATTTGAAATTCCCCAATGACGGATCCATCACAAAACTGTGGCACTTTTCATGCGGAAGATAAGACAGTTTCAATACTTTCAACTAAAAATTAAAAAGGAAATTACCGAGACATTTAAAAAGCAACTAAAAATTGGTTAGGTAAACCACTTGACATTTCTGTTCAGCTATAAAATGAAGTCGAAATCGCGATTTTCACATAAAAGAATATTTTAACAACAAATAGAAAGTAAAAGGAAGTGAACAAGACTGGAAACACAATATACGCAGTTATTTCCTGTAAATAATTTTCAGCCGCATCATTTAAAATTAATACCGGAGTTCCCAAGTGAATCAACATCCATCCTGAATCCTGTAAATGAACCAGATAAGTGATTTCGTGATACTATCTTCATTTTTTTCACTCCACCCAACACTGCTTAAAGTATACTATCAGCAAGTATTTAAGCTAGTCGGTTTGCCATCTTATTCTTATGACTACCTACCTTTAACTTAACTGTGACGCTTATTATCCAGTATTCTCAATATATGCAAGTTTCTTAGCCATAATCTTGATGTTTTTGCGTGAAGTGTAGCAAGATAGGTCATTCTGCACTTACACCAAGTCTTAGGACTATAATGTCTATCTATCCGAATCAAGGGAATTAGAGTGCAAAATAAGGGAATGATAAGAATCAACTTTTTGCTTTAAAACATTTATGGTTAACAGTAAACTTCTTAAAGCTCTTATAAAGCGAAATTTCATGACTAGATGGTTCATGAGTACCGAAAAAACATGGAAAAGAGCATAAGAATGTATAGAGTCTAACATTAAACCTCAAAAGAAATCCTTTTAACGTAAAATTCGTTTTTAAATCCAATTTAAAAATGACGCAAATTAATAAAATAACGCAGATTCAGGTAATAAGGTATTTCATAAAAGAACGATTTTACAAATATCCACTTGGAATTGTGGAATATCTGGCAAACTCCATCTATCACTCATTCTTTCTCATTAACTAAAATCTAAATTTACTTTCAGGAAAAGTGAAAAATAACCACCGTTGCTTAAGGGTGGAAGAGTTTACCTGATGAGTCCGTTTCTCTAAATGTTGACAAGATCGCCAAACTCTCCAGACGCTTTTTCTCTGGTATTTTATAATCTGACGAGTCAAAACCTTACCACCTAATATAGATTTCGGAAATGAAAATTATAAAGCTGGGTTGGTAACCGCTAGAGAAAAGTGTAGCAGTCCAGTATAATAGTCAAGGTTATTATCAACATAAAGTTGCACTGGTTAGTTTAAAATAAACAGTAATCCAAACGATCCAGACCACAGAAATATGCTGAAGCTAGTGTATTATGTGGAAACAAGCCTAACTATGATTATGAAGACGGACAGACAAAAATACAAGGAATAATCACCTAAATTGGAGAAATGAGAACAAGCTTATACGTAGTTATATTAACAGTAATTACGTGATTGTTTCATGTTATGCTTTAAAAAGGATGACAGCACTTTATTACTTATATTTCCTTTAAAACTAAACGGCTGATATCTTAAGAAACTTCTGTGGGAGTTACAAGAAGACTAATGAGTCTATTATGGACGAAGTATTAACACACATCTAAAGGCTAAGAAGAATACTAGTTAGAAAACCTAGACCGGTTGACACTGAAAGTATTACATATGGAAAATGATAAAAATAAGTAAAATGAAATGTTTGATGCAGAATAGTCAGGAGAGATTTGGTTCAACTGTATAGCTTTGGACATTGAAAAATAATTCTTACTATACTGTACACGCGTGTGTACGAATGAGAAGCGATCTAGCAGAGGCGTGCACTCACAGAAAACAACTTGAAGAAGCAACAGTAAACGTGTTAGGTACGCAAAGACAGTGGAGTTTATTTCATTATATAAATGCTTTTTCAGAATCATTTGTAAAACAATCTCCCGTTATGCATTTTGTTAAGTGACATAAAAAGTATTCAAGAAGTCAATGGAGTAACAAAATAACCGTAATTCCACTTAAACTTACCAAGTAAAGTGGTAGGTCCGTTGGTTCAGCCAAGGTCAAATGAGGACCAATTAACAGAAGTATGGGGTTTCTTCTCAAAATACTGCTCCATAAATTGGAGCGTCGGTTTCTTAAAGGTGTTATGTCTACTGGGTTAAAACATGAAGTAGCATGTTTTCGACAATCCGAAACCTTTTGAGACAGCAGGTGTAGTAAATTACTCTTCTCAAAACGCTTGATGTGGTGAACATAGAAGTATGTCTAGGAACATCAAAATAACTTTTAATGTAGATGGACAAAAAGGAATTATTATAAATACAAAATATATAACATTAAAGTAACACTAAAATCGAGAAGTCGGTTACCTGACTTTCAGTAATTAGTAATATGTGAAGATTTTTGGATTTCTAAAAAACGTACTTGTAGAGCATAATACAAAACATGTTAGATTTGTAGGTTTAGCATATGTTATTCGGTATAACTGTTTTGCAATCATAGTTTGAGTAGCTGCTTAAAACGTTTGATATAAGTCTGTTCAAATCAGTTGATTACAAACGCACTCCTAAGTCCATCTTAATTTACGCTACTGTACTTTTTTATACACTCTCCAGATGAGCTTGATGATAGTTGGTAAATATGATTTATTATTCAGTGCCTTATTCTAAAAAGGTTAAGTACTATGCAACTTGGAAAAATTCGTTCACATGTAGAATAGAGAAGAAGGGGAAAGATCATGTCTCCGGATGAAGCATATCTATGATAACAACTTCGGTAAGAGAACAGTCAGTGACATCATATATCAGTTGCAAGTAATTCCAACAGAAATTTCGGTAATAATAGGAATAAAAGCATCTTAGATGTCTTACTCGTTCAGCGTAGAGTATCAAAACATAACTTGTCATTATTATAAATGCTTTACGAATTAATATACGACAACCATCCCTTACTGTGATCACAAACTCAATCAGAATTTAACCAATAAATATACCATCAAATATTTAAAATCTTACTTTGCTTCCACAAGAAAGAACAAGGGTAATTTGAGTTCCTGCATCAGTAGCATTCGAATGACATATTTGTGGGATTGTTGATAGAGAGAAAACAATATCTTTGTTCATTTGAAGAGAAGTGTCAAGATCACTAGTTGCGACAGAAGTTTGATAAAACTGATTAAAGTCTGACATATTCTGCACGCAATGGAAATTGAAAGATCCTAAAACGATCACCTTAAAACTCGGCATACTATTTAAAAAAAGGTACCTTGTGGTTTAATATTAGTGAAAGCAAATCACTGAGTTTATTTACTGCCTTCATCGGAGAGCCAATAAGACGAAACGAATTTAAAAGATGTCTGACAGTAAAGGGACCCGAATAGTGAAATACGGCTGTCGGAGACGTGTGGACGTTCAGTTGAGGAAAAAGCCTCACTGTTTCTGTTCGAGCACATAAAGATGACTTCAAGCCACAGTTAACAGCGAAGATCTATCTTTAAAAATTCAATAATATAAGTGCACTTACATTATAAGGAATTATGTTCTGAACAGCTTCAAAAGACGATTTCGCCTTATTTGAATCTGCATCCCAGTTAGCGTACAGAAGTACACCGACCACAGGACCCGACTTTCTGAAGTCCATTTTATAGGAGCTGTTAGCCAAATCACGGATAATTGACTCCGAGTTAAAGAGTGCGTCGAATGAAGAGCTGTCTTTAGTAACTTTAATTGACCTGAAATTAAGCCAGGCTCATAATTTTCGGAAATCCACTTACTGTGAACAACTTGGGAATGAAGAAAGCCACATTCCGATCGCACTCAATAATATTATAAGGACGTCAGCATTTTTTTTCATTTGAACGAAGAATGTATGTACATCCCAGTTACTACACCTACTGCAGCAACGGGATAGCATCACATATATTGACCTAGATTACGTAGGTTAACCTTCGAGTTGATCATTCGTAGCAGATAAACAAAACAATTGTGCAATCATTGTTTACTAAAGCAGTCCCTTTAAATAGTTTTAAGCGAAAGGGTGAAGCACAAAATTTTACCAATGATGCTTTAGTGTGTCATCTATTTCTTTATTGATTATTCCCTACGGATCCATTAGAAGATAGGGCTTCAATAAATCGTCTTCATTTCATTCTGTTTTCTTCAGTCGTCTTTAGCTTGCCCAACGTATGCTCATAGCATCTCACCTCCGCCACAAACAGCCTCATAGAAGTTACCATCAAGAACCCAACTAGTCGTATCCCATTCGTGTCCCATTCGAGGGGTTGTTGGTTGAATTTACTCGGTGGTCTCAATAGAGTGTTACCGATACCTCTCAATCTGCTTCACCGTGTATCTTAACTTATGGGTTCTTTGAAGACGGCTGTTCTTTTCGAAGTCGTTGGAGATCAGGTTTATGTTTAACTACCGTTCTAAGTTCTGCTCGATAGGGACGCGTGGCCATGCACTCTCATTCCTCAAACGATCAATTTAATTTTCCTAGATCCAGATCGGTAGAGGCAGTTTTCTGAATTCATGACATCATTCGGTCTCCTCACTATGGTGTAACTTAATATTTCACTTGGTTGTGAATAGAAGCATGGTTCTGAGCCAGCTTTTACAAAGACCTAAGTCGCCCTTCGTTGGTAGTTCGAAAAAGCAGCCTTCCTTCCAATTTGTAGGTACTTCTCTTTGCTTCCAAACACTCTACGAAAGTGGCATGGGGATATCATCTTCGTTCGTTTGGGTTCGTTTTCAGCGCCTCCGGAAGGATTTCTCCTAGTTCTTTCACTTGGTTTTCTAAAACTTCATTTCACTCAAAATTTCCGTTTTTTGAAAGACTAGTATCCACCAGCAGTTCTCTGACTTCTGTTGGTGGTATTTCTGAAGTGGCTGCAAGTGGCTCTTGCCCCAAGAGTACAGTGACTAGCCTGTTGTCTCCTTTGTTGTCTCCTCTTTTAAAATTAGTTTTACTTCATTATTTTTCGTTGGTTTCATCTGTGTTAATCTCTTCCCGAATTTAGACCTGGTAATCTCATTTCATTTCCTCAGGTCCCTTTTTTCCTGACTCCTGCTCCAATTCGATTACCGGTGTCTTAGAATTGCCGGTTGTATTTTCTGTCACACTTGGTTTACGTGCTAAGCACTAGACTCAGCACCTCCTTTCATTCTCGATTTTTGCATTGATTCACCTGTTCCACAATCCCTATCTCCTCTGTTTGCTTTCACCTTTCCATTAAGAATCAATCCATGTCTTCCATACACGTTTTCTTCGAAGTACTTTTCAGAGGATTCTAGTGTTCATCCACGCAGGACTTCTCGGTGATGCTATATAGTGTGTCTAACTTCTCTATGATGGCAGTAGTGCAGATGCCACTTGCGGTTTTGGCCTTCAGATCCTGAACTTCATTTGTGATCTACCTCCAGCTTGGACCTTGTATATACCTTTGTGATTGTACATGATACGTCCACTCACCAAATCACTGAATGCACGGAATCTATGAGGAGTTATCCGTTCTAAATCATTACTTTCAGGGCTTCTCGGCTCACGATTGATTCTCTTCCTATGTTATCTGCCGTCATTCATATAGTGCACTAGGATTTTAATGTCGCTATCCGGAATGTTATCAATTACTGTTTGCATTTGTCTTCAGAAATCTTCTTCTTTCTTATGTTCTACTTGGCACCCGGCATTGGATGACTGCAACCTCCATCTCTTTGAAGTTCAATTCAGCTGTCATTGTTCTAGAAGGGATTTGTTTCAACTGCATAAGAGCGTTGACGTTTCTTAACCACGCTGTAGGGTGATTTGCTCAGAAGGTAGGCAGTAGAAGGGTAACCTCAGATTCAGCAGGAGCATTGTCGTCAGTCATATCAGGATAATTTGTGGGTAAGATAAGGTATACAAACGATAATAATACATATGTATTCCTGTTTTTGCTAGAACATACCAATTGTGCAGGCATGGATAAGTTATTATATAAATTACACATATTTCGATGTATGCTGAGTTGACGGTTTGGTTGATCTTTCTGACATTAGAGTCAGTCGGAATAGTCTGCTAGATAATCTGTTTGTGTAACATAAAAAGAGATATAGAAATACTGTCTTCGCATTAACAAAAAACCCAGGCATCAGATGAATGCAGTACAAATATCTGGGAAAAATAAAGCTTGAAGTCAATTCTCCTATACAACTTTGTTGTGAACAGCATCCTTGACCTAAAGTTTATTGATGTAATATGTTGAGATCAGTGATATAATAATAATAATAATAGTATATTCTCATTTTTTACATGAGGGACACCAGTTTACAGGCATCATCACTTCGATAAATTACACATACGATTAGTAAATATAGTTAGTAATGATAATATAATAGGGTACATATTTGTTCATACAAATATAGGAAAAACAAGTTCTATAGGAATGGATAAGAATTATTTAAGTTACATATTTAAATTACATGATTTACGGTTAAATAACATGGTTGCTGTCATTTTATCTTTAGTTTGTGGGGAAAATCGGATAACTGGTGATTCAATGGAACACACCAACAAATATAGAGATATTGACCTCGCATTAACAAAAAAAACCCAAGTATGCGTTGGATGGATTACATACACTTGGGAAAATAAATAAAGCTTGAAGTCAATTCCCTCATAAAACAATAAAATGCGTCTTACAATAATATATTCCCACTTTATGCACATGAGGGACTCCAGTTGACAGGCATCAACAATATGGTAATAATGCACACATGGAGTAAACATGTTTAAAATTTTCCACTAACACAAAATATATATACAAGGTAAGATAATGAAATATTGACCGTAAGTACACTCTGCATAAGTTAAAACAGTTTATATGGCATAATCCTAGGCACAATTATTGTTTGAATTTGTTGAACATGAGCGAAACAACTGAGTGTTGCGTTACATATATTTATTCCATTTTTGCAGAAGTCTTATCGTAGTTTTATAACGAGAAAGAAATTTGATCGTGGGTACGAAAACTAGATAAGGTCATGTTGGTTTGTTTTACGGCATAAAATGGGGCCGAGGTCAATTCCAGGACTCTCCATTGGCGCTATTTGTGTCTACATGACAGACTGTACTGTAAGTTGAGTAAGACATTGAAAACCAGTTGCTTCTTTATCTCAGATCATGAATACTCCTTGTGCAGAATGTTGGCCAGCGTTTTCAAATGGTAGCATCGGATCGTTCATGGAATTTGAGTGGTTATGAGCTAGTAGCTGGAGTGGAGACATGTGAATTTACTTAAACGGTCAGGAGTCCAGCTTCATTTCAGTTTAAATGTAGGGTTGTTCGACTTCAATCAGAAGGTAAATTGAAGAGTAGGCTCGGCAGCAGAATACCAGAAAGAGAAAGTATGTGAACATTAAAAGAACATTAATGTTTTATGCATGTATAAATGTTTATGTAGATTGTATATCACAGTACAGTAAACATTTACCTATGTTTTTGTTGTGTTTTCATGTATTTTTGCGAAGTTTTTAAGTTTATTTAGTGTCAAAATATATATTGATGAGTCTAAGAGTTATAGTGTTCTAATGTACCAACAGAAGACAAGGGCAAGGCAACAGATCGTTTATTAAGGAAAATCAACACATTTATTGTAATAATTTTCCCTCTTATGATGTTAATGCTCTTAATCAGTCTTTTATACGCTGTCCTTCTACTTTAACTACTTCTAATGTTACCTATCATGTAGCTGAAAACTTTCATGACTTTAATACTCTCGATGTTCTAAAATGTCTTAAAACACTCAAGCCCTCACGTAGCCTAGGTCCTGATGGTATACCTGCCTATGTTCTAAAACAATGTGCAGATGTGTTGTGTTCTCCACTAACCAACATCCTAAATGCCTCTTTCTCCAAAAACATCGTACCTGATGCATGGAAAGACATCAAAATTGTCCGTGTCCCTAAACCTGGAAACGGCAAGAACGTAAAGTTCAGACCCATTGCCATCACTTCCCCGTTCCTAAAGCTTATGGAAAAACTAATACTTCTTAAACTCGAACTCTCCCTTAAAAACTTTGAAGACCCAAAACAATTTGCCTATAGACAGGGTAGGAGTACATTAGACGCTGCAGCTGTCTTACACAACAACATCGTCTCATCATTAGATAAAGGTGCTAAATACGTCCGCTACACGTTTCTTGACTTCACTTCTGCTTTCAACTCTGTTCCTAGATGTCTCCTTCTAAATAAGCTCTCTTTGACGAAAACTGAGTCCTGGGTCACTAACTGGTTGCATTCCTACTTCTCTAACAGAAAGCAGTACACCGTATACAAAGGTAAATCATCCTCTGCTGCACTCACTGAAGCCGAAGTCCCCCAAGGCGCTGTACTCTCCCCACTTCTCTTTTCTTTCTTTCTACATGACTTACCATCTTCAAATGACATTAATTTTGTCAAATACGCTGACGATCTGTCTGTATCTTTGCCTATCAAATGTCAAAGCGACTGCTCTAAACTTAATGGCTTTCTGTCAGAAATCAGCCAGTGGTCCAAGGAAAATGGTCTTACTCTAAACCCTTCCAAATGCCAAACAGTCAATTTCACCTTTAGGCATAAATCCGACCTAAACAAACTGTTTGGCTCTCACGAGGTATGCAACATAGACGGCACTGAAATAGAAACTAAATCGGAAATTAAATACCTAGGTGTCATTCTATCTGCTGATCTCTCCTGGTCGTCTCATATCTTAGCAATTTCTAAGAAAATATTCCGTCTTGCCTTCTACATTAAGAAGTTAGAACATTCTGGTATTACCCAACCCTTACTCCTACAATTCGTTAATTCTCGCATCCTGCCTATTATTCTCTATTGTCCCCCTTTAGTTTTTCCTGGGCTACTGAAGAAAGGCTATAACATATTACGCAGGATGTTAAA